ACAGCTGTCTCAGTCATTCCACACAGGGCTTGAATGGAAAATGTAAACACTACTATCATTTCCAAAAGACAGCAATTATCTCCCTCATCTTTGGATATTTGGACCAGTCCAGTTGCCAAGCAAAAACGAGACAGATGATCTTTTCTACTGTTATGACAGATTATATCCATGCCACTTTCAAGTGCCCAGGCAGCTGTCTTAGACGTTAGTTACATTGTTTCGAAATTTTTTGACACAAGTGAAGAACTGAAAGCGTGCCTGCACTACAATTACTGACATGCATTGATCTGGGACTGTGCTATCACATGATCTGAAGTGATGACAGCTCACGAATCTGATGTGACAGCAGTCAAAGTTTTGAGATACAGACTCAGATTATTTTACAAATAGCCATCTCTCCCATTTAACTGGGGAAGAGTCTCTGTACTGTTTTCCTACCCAACAACCAACAAGTGAACATCATGTTTACACCAAAGCTCTTCTCTGGTTTCATTCCACTTCCGGCATAAGGATCACATGTCTGAGCAGTCTCATGACTTAACTGATATGCACTTAAGTAATATAAGGCTCCATGCTGCTACATGTCTACTGTCACAGGATACACATACATTAAAGCCACTTTTAGAGGAACTTTATGCAACTGCATCTATCAACGTATCTCTGTGAAAAACATACAATTCAAAACATACTAAACATACTACTATTATTATACTAATAACTGTAGTTTAAGAGTGAACAATAGATGTAAGAACATAATAACTAAATAATAACAAATAAATAAATAATTCATGATATGTTGGACACTGGAATTAGAGACCACGGTGCGTCTACTTAATAAAGACTGAGAGGGGTAGCTGATTCAGCATAGGATGAATAACCTATCAAAGTCCTGTTATATCTTAGAGCTCCACTCTGTAATGTATCTTCAATAGTCATCAATAGTCTGGGTGGATTCTTTTATCTGTGGCACTGATATGGCACATCACATCATTTACAAAGAAAATGATTCCTCCCAGATTAAAAGTCTCTGTTTTAATGGCTTTTCCTTCCACAAGGTCATCTTGCGTGGCCTGGTTAGCAAAAGTCTGCAGGCTTTTTCACCTTTATTGTGACTTTTATCCTCTCTTATCTCCTTGACATACGAGGCAGGCCTCTCATGTGGCACAATGTCATCCACCCACATCCCTAGCTGAGGTATGCAGATGAATATTTCTCGGAGAAATAGAAGCTATTTTATAAGAGAGTGACAGCAGAAACTATCTGAAGCCAGTCAATCAAACCTTCAATAATCTCCAAATGAGTGAACCTCTTACCTTATGGTATATTATTTGTAGCATCAAAGATTACAGAAATCTGTAGACCTCATGCACAATAAATGACACCTGGATGCTTACTGAGCTGCAACTCACCAGCTACCAATCCATATAATTTGCCAACTGTGCCAACTACTTCACTAAATAAATAACCAACTAACTAGATTTAAATAAATAAATGAATAAATGAGTAAGAGGATCTACACTGCATTATTTATTTGAAGAGAACACATCCGTAGACAGAGCAGTTGCACTGTTCAGCTTCCTCTAGGGCTTGCTGGAGTTTCATCATCTCTGCACTAGCACAGCTATGTCTAATAAGAACAAACACTATGCTGCACATCTACCAGACATGTGCATTTTGCAAAGCGGGACACAAGGAATCCTTGACACAGTAGAGGCCCTCAGCTGATTAAAGGGGATTTTAAATGCTTTGCATTCGCAATATTTGCATTATGCAAAATGCATCAAAGCAAATACTGCATCATTTATTAACAGAAAAAAATCAATGTACAGAGAAAATCTATTTCTAATGCTTTTGGGATGGTCCCAAAACATTAAATTAGAACAAATTCCTGTCCATTATGTATGACAACATCACATAGCTTCCATAGAAAACCAAGTGAATCATCATGGAATTTGTCAGTGACTTATATTTAGCTTATTTTTCTATACAGGTACATTTATACAGCTAATAAGGCTTAATGTGGTGGATTAAAACTCCAAGACCCACCTTGTAATGGAGGATTTCTTAAGGTGATTATTTATTAATCCACAGGAACTAGTATAGAAGGGATGAACCTATGTCTGCACTGAACCCACTCACAACCCTGTGCCAACTACCGAAGCAGAGTATGCTGGGAAGACTTGGCACGACATGAATAAACCAAGCTTGCTATGGCGTTCCTGTATATTTTGGCTTAAAGGAAACAGCGTGCATTGACCAAGCGTAGGTTTTCAGTCCTATTTTGAGCATCCGATATTACGTCATTTGGTACTTTTGCTATGCTTTCTGCCATCAAATCCCACATCACTTTTGTATGCACACAAGACTTTATTATACAGTTCCTCATATTTCGAGATGGGTGTCAGACAGGCATGTCTCTGCACTGCATGCCGTATGAGCATACTTAATACATGGCTTACAAATCACTACAGTGAAAACTCTAAAACTCCAAGGTTGCTTCCTTCAGAACTTCGCCTTCTCGACCTGTGTAGGACAGGGCTAGTCTAATATGACAACACAGAGCTCAGCACATCATTACGGTGCCTGATGAAAATTTTAGCACACCACAGTTAGCGAGGGGGACATATCCTTTTTACTGGTGCTCCCCATCTTCCTTTTTGATCTGCTATAATGTGCCTCTGAATCCCAAAGTCCTACTCTTGGCCTGCCATTCTATGTCAATGCCATCCATTATAGATAAAACCAAGCCATTCACATTACTATTAATGGCAATGTGTAATGTGGGGGCAATACATTCCCATAAATTCCTAGGCATTGTTGGACTGGCCCTTGCCTCTACCCTGATAAACTAGCCATCCATCAAGGTAATAAGATAAAATCAAGATTCTGTGAATGTTAGACACTGGGTCACATAAGGGGGTTGGGTGACTGCCCTTGATATCCTCTCTTGCATATGTTGCTTTAAGCTTCAGAAAAGGATCAGTGCAAATGGCACCATTCCTCTTCTCCCCACTACAATGTCCTCCACATCTCCTTCAAGTAAATCTAAATAGCTTAGAGTGGTTGTATTTTCCTCAACAATAAATTGAAAGAGACAGTGTGAAAGATGGTCTGGCTTGAATCTAAGGCCTTGTGAAAGCTTTCCACTCCCAGCTATTATATGAAGGTTGTGGAGTGGTCAGTCTATGTCAAGATATTCTGCATCATTTGCACAGAAGCCATGGCTCTTAGTGAAACCAATAAGTTGCAAGCATGGACAAGAGTTGCTAATTGGGTGAGAGTCTCTTGCTGTATCAGCTGGCCACTAGCTAGCCCCTGATAATGATACATGTCCACCCTCCTAAAATAGGTTGCCAAACTGCAGAAACACAGGTTGGTCAACAACTTTGAGGCCACATGTGACTCCTAGTGCTAAGAATAAGCAGAAACCTTAGCACATTAACAGTCACCATGAAGTCAGCCAGTCATCAAAGACAGGGTATTAATAGATCAGAACTGTGTCTTCGGCAACAACAACAGCAGAAAGTCTAAAATGACCAGTTTAAAGCCCTAAGGCTGTTTTACCTACAAAATCTTCAAAGAAATAAGTAGTGCAAGAATTATTACGGGTATATAGGAAACCAAGAAGCCACAACATCAAACGCAAAGAGACTTTCCTATTTCCTCAAAACCAATTATGATTGAAAGATTTATCATAAAACTGTATTCCACAAGAAAAGTGCACACCATAATTGATGCCTATGACACTCAGTCCCTTTGACGCCCCATCCCTACTTAAGTCAGGTTACGTATAACATAACACCTAACTAATGAGGTAGAGAGACAACAAAATTAGAAAAACATCTGCACCAGCCTCTGAGCCTCACTTTTTTTTTACCATGAATACTTTCCCTGAAAGTAGATTCTGTTACTTCATGCAATGTGGAAATGATCCATTGAGAAATACAACCAATGATAGGTCATAAATTGTTAATGTTATTGGAACAAGTTGAGTTTGAATGTATTCACACACACACACAC